CTCTGAGGATCCCCGGCGGTGTGTGAATGAGGTCAGAAAAGGATGTTTCTTAAACCCTAAAACCCTAACGAAAACCCTGATGAAAGCCCTAATGAAGGTTCCAGTAAGGCGCAGGGGAGGGCGAGGCGATCGGAGGCGATATGGTGGTGATGGTGGCGGGTGGGGGGGTTCGGGGGGGTTGGGGGGGAGGGAGCGGGGGAGGAGGGGGAGCGCGTGTCGGTGGGTGTGTTGGTGGGTTTGCCGTACCTGATCCGTTTCCCATACCAAGCCCCCAACCGCCCAGATCTCCCAAATCCATAGGCTGGATACTCAGGGTTTTAGGGGTTTTAGCTCTATCGCTCTATTCCTGGACAATACCATGAACATCGCTTTCCCCCCTCCCCCACCTCCATACGCACACACACACACACACACACACACACACACACACACACACACACACACACACACACACACACACACACACACACACACACACACACACACACACACACACCGGGGCCCCGTGAGTCTGCAAGGGGTCTGCCACCCCAGAGTGCATATCCAACGTACAGGAAGACACATACCTACCTACATACCCTCATACACACATGTATACACACACACACACGCACACGGCGCGCCGCGGCCCATCCTTACAAATGCAACTTCGTTGGACTGCTCGTTCCAGAGCAACTTGAACAGCTTATCGTATGAGAAAGTTCCACCACCGCCGATCAGGTTCGTTGCCGTACCCATGTCGGCGTGCGGGACGTAGTACGACAGTCGTTCTAACAGGTCCGAGCGAGTCACACTTGTCTCGCCTGGTGGCGGTCACGAGGATCATCAAGTTACAGATCTCAAACCGTACAGTCCCAGCAAGACGTGTTGGGACCCACCAAGAAAGTCCCTAAGTGAGATTCCGTTAGGAGGTTGTTAAAAAGCAATAATGAGGCTGCGAGCACTACCCAAAATAAGATTAGCCAAGGCATTTGTGATCTGCATATGCTGGACAAACGGAGCGTGCTGCTCATCCGGGAAGGGGAGGGAGGGGATTCGTCGAAGATGTACACGCAATGCGACATGTGCGTAAGAATGAGCGGGGACGTAACGGAAATGGATATAACCGCGCGTGCTTGGTGCGCCTGGCGGCTAGGGGCAGTTTGCGCATTGGACGGGATGCAATTGAAAACATGGCGGACGCAGCAACTGAGTTATACAGAAAATATTTGCATGCAGGTAACATAGATATGGAAAGATGAATTGGCAGACGTGGATGTGGGAAAGTGCAGGTGACTGGACCACGGTAGGATGGAAGGTGTGGAATGGTCACGGACGGCTATACACCCGGACCCACCGCTAGGCACCAGAACCTTCCAAGCAGCTTCAATGTCCTCCTGCACTAAGTAGTCGGACCTCTCGAGCTGCGCGCGCGGAATTGCTGAGTCATTTGTCAGGGTAACTTGCAAGGTAGGTGCCCACGCAAAGCGTCGCCTGCAACTCACATATTCTCTTACAGTCTCCTCCTGTATGGCTTTGACGACCGCGAAGAACTTGTCCATTCCCCCCTTTCCAGCGAAGTCATATTGCGTCGCCCGCGGCTGAATGTACTTTCCGTGGGAGGCCATGCTTGCAATTTATCATAAATAAAAAACGTGACGTGAGCCGTGTGCCTTTCACAGTCTATCGCCAAAGTAGTAATGACTAAGACTCTCCTAAGTTGCTGCGGTTGGAGCTGTTGTTGCAGGCTCGAGTATTAACCATAGGCCCAACGGCTCTCGCATATGCATTAAGCATAACTATCCAGCAGGGCGTTTTATGACAAACGATCAAGACGGAGCTGTTGTACTGGTATTGTATCCGTGAAATCGCTGCTTGTTATAGCAAGCAAGCACATGGCTGCATCATAAGCTGCTTCGTTTCTCGCATGCCATGGGAAAGCACCAAGGCATGAGGCTGTACAATCAAATTGTTGCTCGTACAGCTCCTCTCCGCATCACTCTTGGAGATAACCTGTCTTTCATGCAAATCACTCACGCACATCGTCACAAAAGAGAAATGGAAAGAGAAGGAAAGAGAGAGAGAAAGAGAAAACACTTAAGCCCCTCAGAACTACAAAAGCAAATCACAGCTGATTCTGATCGTGTGTCGTATCAGGATCCAGCCAACCTAACGAGCAAGCCTGAGCATCTCCCAGAACGCTATTCCAGCACTTCCACACGCTCAGGACGTGCATGCACTCATTGCTGCACGATGCCTCGCAAACCTCTCTGGCGGTAACATCTTTTTTTATATAGTTGACATGTTGCCCAGCTAACAGCTCCAACAGCTCCCACCTAGAGAGAGGGAAATTTAACCTAGATTGACGTCTATCGCCTTGTGTCCACATAACCACACAACCAGCGTAAGCGCCATTGCTATACCCAGTCCATCTTTCATCACTTAACCTTCAGTGCTGCTGGAGATGTGTCAGTATGTTTATTCATACCGGTGCATGATGATGGGCATAGTGCGCAGAATTCCATCCAAGTAGCTCCCCCAGTTGGCGCGGGGGCTGTTAGTCCTATCGGGAAAGGCAAGGCCACGGCTTCGTCGGGTAGGGGTAGGGGTAGGAGTAGGGCTAGGGGTACGGGGCTGTCGTCGTATGTCACTGTACGAAGAAGGGTAACTGTGTCTCTCTGTGCATATGGTGCCGGCTGCATAGGGTGCTTACCGCTTGCTTTCCATTAAGACCTTCCTAAAAAAAGCGCCTTTTCCCGTGTGAATTAATGAATTAATGAATGAATGAATGAATGTGTGAGCACCCGCTTGACTTGATGATCCGTACGGGATATGTCCATGGCCCGATGACGACAGCCATGTCCGTGGGTGGTGAAGCCCGCTTCTTTGCCGCTTTATATGACGATGGTTATCATCATAGCAAATTTCCAGCAGCTATGTGTAGTGGGTTTAGGGATTTAAGAGTAGCTAACAGAGAGCGGTACCTAACACTACACACACACACACACACGCAGTGTTGAGTGTGTCGAAAGGTTATACGGAAATGGGAGCAGCAGACAGGGCTGCGCATCCACATGCCCACCACAGCGATTGCGTGAGGGGGAAAAGACGAACCACGAACGAGTGGGGGAGTATGCGTGAGGGGGAAAAGACGAACCACGAACGAGTGGGGGAGTATGCGTGAGGGGGAAAAGACGAACCACGAACGAGTGGGGGAGTATGCGTGAGGGGGAAAAGACGAACCACGAACGAGTGGGGGAGTATGCGTGAGGGGGAAAAGACGAACCACGAACGAGTGGGGGAGTATGCGTGAGGGGGAAAAGACGAACCACGAACGAGTGGGGGAGTATGCGTGAGGGGGAAAAGACGAACCACGAACGAGTGGGGGAGTATGCGTGAGGGGGAAAAGACGAACCACGAACGAGTGGGGGAGTATGCGTGAGGGGGAAAAGACGAACCACGAACGAGTGGGGGAGTATGCGTGAGGGGGAAAAGACGAACCACGAACGAGTGGGGGAGTATGCGTGAGGGGGGGAGTATGCGGAGGACGCAAAACTAGTAAATAAATTAGGGGGTTTCAGGGAAGGAAATCGTTCGGGAACATTGGAACCCGATCCTTAAGTTTTGTGATCGTTAGCAAAATTCAATCACGTTCGGTTCCTATGATGTTATGATGGCGCACAAATTAGCATTACGCTTAAATGTCATGGCACATCGTCCGTACAGTCGTGTCCGGGGTCATGTTTCAACGAGCATACAGACAGCCAGCCGGTTTGTATACCTTAATGCCTAATATACGGCAAGTCTGTAGTCGATCATCTATTTCGAGCTCCTACCGGTTACGCGAGGCCTCAATCTATGAACAGGAAAACAAAATTTACAGACGGAGAGTCTCCTGGACGAGTATGCGCGCTTCTAGCTGCCTCTAGCTGCTCCACATCCATCGCCGAAGTAGCTCCGCCAGTATGTATATAGGTCCGAATTGTTAAGCTAATGGCCAGCGATAAAGCTGCAATGACCTCATGAACTCATGAAAAGGATAATTCGCCGACACCGGGCGTACATACATTTTATTCATAAATACATACATGCATACATTCTGTACAGCTACAGCCACATGCGACATGGCTACCCCGCAATGTCGCTTCACTTTCATTCCCCGTCAGGCGCCTCACCATCAACACCATTTGCACACACTGTTAGAATCAGCAGAGGGCCGCGGACCCCTACCCTTAAAACAAAGTATGGAAGTCACTGTGTCGCCATGTCCTCACTATTCCCTGCCCTCCTACTCCTCCCCCTCCTCCTCTCCCTCCTCCTCGTCTCCTCCTCTCCTACTCCTCCCCCTACTCCTCACCTTCATCCGCCCTCACGTCGTGGCCTATGGGATTCCCCCCACCCACCCTCGTTTTCATCCCCTCCCGCCACCCCCCCTCCGCCCTCCCCCCCTTCCTCCAACAGCGCCTCCACTCCGGGCCTCCACCCATCTAAAGACTGAATAAATGAATGACTCCGCAGTCACAGCGGATTGGCAATGAGGACGATGGAGGAGAAGGCCTGGGCGGGGGGAAGAGGGTACGGAAGGTGAGGAACGTACGGAACGGCGGCTTACGTGGGTGGACGAGCGGAAACACAATCGATAAGGATCTCCCGCTGACCTTAAAAGGTAATTACCTCATCCCACCCACCCACTCTCTAACCTCACCACAGCGCCGAACTCACATCCATAGCCACCGTCACCATCAGCCCCCCCCCGTCTGTTGTCTGTCCAACTTCACCCCTCATAGGGCCATGTTTTACCTCCCACCCCACCCTACCCCACCCCACCCCACCCGACCCTAATCCTCAAACAAACCCCCGAAAACGCGCGCATGGACACAATCACTAAGAAAGACACCCACACACCCACAAAACACACCAGGTCGACCCCGTCCCCCCCCCTTCCCGCCGTACCTGCACCTGATACACATGGTCCACCCCCGCATTTCCCCCCGGCGTGAAGTCCTTGGGCGCGGGGAGGTTGGTGTCCACAACCCGAGACCATTTCCGGCCCGGCGGCGGGCGGGGCAGGGTTGCGGATACGGCGAAGGCATGTGCGTTGAAGGCCGCGTAGATGTCCCCGGCCTCGCGGTGATGCAGGGTGAAGGCGAGGAAGCGAGACTCGTCGTTGTGCCAGTTATCTTCATGCCATGTGATGTCCGCGGGGCTGTGGTGGTTTTGTAATCACCGACCCATGGGCATGTGGGTTTTTGTACGCGGATAGGTAAGGGTAATGCGGGGGTGAGGCGGTAGTTAAAGGGCCGAGTAGGGGTAGTAGGGGGCGGGGAATGGGGGGAGGGAAAGGGCAGATTGAGGAGGAGGAGCCTCTCAGGAGGGCAGAGGGTGAAAAAGAAATTGCCGGCGGGGCGGGGGAGAAAAATGGAGGGTGGGAAAAGGGCGAGGAACTGAAAAGATTTCATCACCCATTTTTCTCAATGGCGTTTTCATTCATTCATTTATATTCCAATAGAAAACAAATAATTACTCTTAAAGCAGGTAAGGGGGGAAAAAAGCAAAAAAAAAGATTTTTTGGTACCGCATTTTGCCGTATCGCATTTGCCGTACCTCAGGAAGTGTTCTCGTCCCAACGCGGGATGCGCCCTCCGGAATTTGATCAGCTCGGAGGTGAACCGCAACAGCGCATCTCGCTGCGGCTCCCCCTCCGCCCACTGCAAATGCGCCATGGCATTGTCGTGGCCGTACCAGTTGTTGTTACCCCCGTGGGTCTTGCCCACTTCATCACCTGTTGCCGTACATGCCGTACATGTCGTACAAATATTTAGTCAGTCGGGATATCATTAATCGCGAGAACGCGGACGTTGGATGTTATGTATACGAGCACAGTACGTGCCATGTAGGGTTACGTAGGTTGTCTGTGTATGTGTGTATGTGCGTATGTATCCCATAAATGTCGTACAGCTTACCTACTACATTTATCAACGTTAAAAGCTACCTTACGTTGATACATATTTTGATATATATTTTGACGTAACGTTGAGATATAAATAAAAATATACTAAAAAATATTTTGGTAAAATTTGAATTTGAATTCTCACCGCTGACAATCATGGGTGTCCCCTGGCTCAGCATTAGCGCCACAAGGTAGTTGCGGATCTGACGCTGTCGTAACGAACTGACCCCTGGGTCGCTGCTGGGCCCCTCATATCCGCAATTCCAAGAGAAATTGTCATTGGTGCCGTCACGGTTGCCCTCGCCGTTAGCGTCATTGCGCTTTTCGTTGTACGACACTAGGTCATATAACGAAAAACCGTCGTGCGCGGTGATGAAGTTGATTGAGTGGTACGGCCGGCGGTTGTGATTGTTGTACAGATCCGCGGAGCCAGCCAGACGCGTCGCAAATGCACGCTTCATACCTGCAATAATTACCGTTACCGTTACCGTTACTGTTAGAATTAAAACTGGTTTCAATTAAGAGATTTTGACAGCTTTTACACTTTTTGACATTCGCTTACGCGTGTATTTACGTATGTAGTGTATTATTAATGTACCAAGCTGAAAGAGAGAGAGAGAAGTGACGTGCCGAGTAGGATGTCAAACCCTAAACAACTTTTCTAGGATATGTCTGTCAACAATGACAACAACACACGTGGTCATAAACAACCCCCCAAGATTTGACCAAAACCTGTCGAATTTGGGCCCAATTTATTTTGACGCAGAGAATAAAACTATCCATTTTGGTGAAAAAAAACAAATCAATAAGACATAATCGTATTATCATATTTACATTATATTATATCATCAACAAAACGTATTTAAATACAAATCCCACAAATCACTGTATGTCTCGTGTCACAACGCATATAATAACATTAATCGCAACACCAACCACCAACCTGGATCGCCCTTGATGAACTTGCGCACGTCATCGCGGTAGCGGCCGTTCCACTCCGCCCACACGTCCCAGTTCGGGAAACTGCCGACCTGACAGATATCGCCACCGGCGCAGTGAGGGGATACGCGGGGACAAGCAGCTTTGGGGGAGTGGGTGGAGTAAGTTTGGGTTTTGAAATTGCGCACTCACTCACCACAACCTTGAGAGAGTGTCTTAAACCCCTCCCCCCAACCCCTCCCCCCAACCCCTCCCCCCAACCCCTCCCCTCCCAACCCACCTGGTACATCCCGATGTCCCAGGGCTCCGCAATGAGTTTGGTTTGCGACAGCAGGGGGTGCTTGGAGATGGCCCGAATGAGGGGGGGAGCGTCCAGGGGGCGGCCCCGCTCGTCTTGGGTTGGGGAGGGGAGGGAAAAGGAGGGGAGAGGAGGGGAGGGGGGCCGACAGGCGCATGTGGGAGGGTAAACAAAGTGTGGAATACAAAACACAACACACAACACAACACAACACACACTTTTACACACACGTGCAGGCAGCACGCAAGACATACAAAGACCGGAGGGCAGCTCACCCCCTCCTTGGGGGGAGTCTTTTTGTTTTTGGCGACGTGCATGGGGCCAGAGGGAGGGAGGGGAGGGGAGGGCGACGTGGTCTGTACTGTACGACAGCTTCTAAAACGCCAGCCCGCCTTTCCCCCCTTAATCCCCCTCCCCCCCGCCTCCGCCAAACCCTCCATCATCTATGGCTGTCCGTCCTCCCGTGCCGTGTCTTGTACGAGTATGGCCGCGTCCTTTCCCCCCTTCCTTTTCAAACCATTAATTACTCCCTCCCCCCCCCAAAATCCCCGCGGTGGCACGGAACACGCCAATACCCGCCATACCACGGCACAAGCAGCTCGCCAGATCAAACCGGAACCCGTCCACGTGATACTCCTCAACCCATTGAACCAAACTGTCAACGATTAACTGACTGACGGTTGGGTCGTTTGCGTTAACGGTGTTGCCGCATCCCGACCAGTTGACGAGCTGTACGAATTGGGTGGGATCGATCATGTAGTACGTTTTGTTGTCGATACCTCGGAACGACAAAGTGTACGGATCTTTGTCGTCCGCTTCCGCCGTGTGGTTGTACACCACGTCCAGAATAACCTCGATGCCGTACGAGTGGAGCCTGCCGGGGTGAGGGATTCAGTGTCAAAATAAAAGAAACCGCGTGTATGTATGTATGTATGTATGTACGGCCCTCACGCTGACTGACGGCTCCAGCCGCCAATCCCTCCGTTACCATCCCATTCTCAAAGCCGCTCAGATAGCCCCAACTCCTCGCCACATCCCCCCCTTTCCCCGGGTCCAGATGCGAGCGTGTGTGTGTTTTCCGTACACCCTTTCCCTCTCCCCCATTACCTTTCCCCCTTCCCCCTTTCCTACCTACGCCCTCTCTCTCTCCCCCCTTACCCTTCCAAGTCCTTCCCCATCTTTTTAGGCCTCTCCTCCTCTCCCCCACGCCTTCCCTTTTCCCCCATTCCCCCTCTCCCTCCTCCCCCCCCTCTCCCTCTTTCCCCCCCTCTCCCTCTCACTCCCCCCCCCGCCGCCACTCTCACGTCTTCACCATGTTCTTGAACTCCTTCGCCACCGCCCCCGGTCCCACTGCTACTGCCCCGTTACCCGTTCCATTCGCTGCTGCCCCTTCCCCCCCCGCTACTGCTGCCCCCGCTACTGCTGCTGCTGCCGCCGCCGCCCCTGCCTCCGTCGCTGCTGCTGCCAAGCGGCTCATGGGCGCGAAGAAGTTGATGTGGGAGTAGCCCCACACATTGGTCATGTGGTCTCGAGGGTTGCGGGTACGGCGGAACTCCAGCTCGTCCCACTCGAATACGGGCAGTAGCTCCACGGCGTTGACTCCCAACGAGGCGAGGTAGGGGGCCTGGCGAGGGGGAGGGGAGTACGGACGTGTGTATGTGTATGTATGTGTGGCGGGTGTGTGTGGAGGGTGGGAGGGGAAAACACATGTTCTGCAGAAGTCACTAAAAAGGCTTTCCCTCTCCTCCACCCCTGCCCAATACGACCCAACTCCTTATCCGCCGCCCATATACACACACATACACATTCTTGCCCCGCCGTTGGTGTGTTTTGGACGTGTAGGGCAGTCCGTTACTTTGACTTTTACGTACGATTTCCCCCCCCCCTCGACCCTCCCTCTCCTTACTTCTTGCATCACCCTCTCCCACCGCTCTCCCTCCCCTCTTTCCCTCCCCCTCTCTCCCTTCTGGCCCCCTCCCCAACCGCACCTTGGCCGCCAGCCCCGCAAAGGTCCCCCTCAGCTCCGGAACCAGCCCCGAGGAGGGATCTGCCGTGAAACACCGTACGGGCACCTCGTAGATGACCAGGTCCTTCAGAGAGTGACCCGGCCGGCGGTAGTTGGGTCCCCAGTCGTACGGCGGCGAGTCGAAGTCGTACGCGCCCAGGAACAGGCTGCCTTCCTGGGATCGGGGGATTGAGTATGTGTGGTGGCCGGGGGGTCCCGGGTTTGGCAGTGGTGTGTTGTGTGTGTGTGTGTGTGTATGGGGGGGGGGCGAGGAAACACATGACAAGAACACATTCTTCCGCCTCCCGACTCTCCTTTCACAGCCCTTTCAGAATTTGAGCACTGTGGCAGTTCGTACATTTCTGAGTTTTCAATTCTTGCATTACACGATTCCTGGCCTCCCCCCAATGCGCAAGGGGTATTATGTAAACTCGCCCTCACCCACCCCTTTCCCCCGTCATCGCCCCGGAAGGTTCACTCAGAACTCGCAGGGCCTCTCACCTTGCCTTTAAATTGCTCCACCTCGTCCCGTACTCCAAACCTCCTCCGCCCCGAAACCAGCGGCGCGTACGGATCCAGGAGGACTTTCCCTGGAGCCCACCGGTGCCCCGCGTCCCAGCCGCCATCGCCCGCCACTTTGAAGCCGTACCGTACGTCACTGCCCGGGAGACCCACTAGCTCCAGGTGGAATACGTCACCTGCGTGTGTACGACGTCGTTGTGGGTTGTCGTACGTGTGGGTCTGTGCGTGTGCGGAGGAAGCGGGAAGCCATGCTTGCAGGAACGTGAGGATTGGCAAGGGCCACGGTGGTGGGGAGGGGGGTAAGACGAACCACTAGGCGAATGGAGCAGAAAGATACCAGCGATAGACGGATGGTCCAGGAGGGGGAGGGGGGGAGGGAGGCAGAAGAAGCGATTGAGTCATCGCACTGCTTAGCCCTGGCGGCTTGCTTGCCCTGGGCTGGGCCTCCCCATTTTCCATCCCTTGCTGAGAGACAGGGCTGAGCAGTGGGATGGAAAGATGGCTCAATTGTTTGTTTGTAATGTTTGTCTGTTTCTGAAAGAAAGCGGCAAGCAGGTAACGCACCAGTGCGGCGACATTCGATCTCGTCGACCTGCTGCGCCTTCTCATTGAAGAGACAAAGCCTTGCCGACTTTGCGTGGCGGCTGAAAAGAGCAAAATTGATGCCCTGCTCTGTTTTACTAGGTCCCAACGGATGCGCCTTGCCTGCGTTTGGAAAAGAAACACAACCCAAAGATGGGTTGCCGATCAGCGGCCGAGAAAGGAGTGCTAGCAGCCATGCAAAATCGATTATTAATAAAGATGGCAGTCGTGTTCCTGAATAAGAGGACAGATGTGACAATTGCGAGCGGTGCCTCTCACGTGCATGCGATCGTTCCGGTGCTCACCAGGCGCCACAGAGGTATAAAGCTGGGGCACAGCCGCTGCCGGAGCTGCCTGTGCACGTATAACAAGACTCCTATGGCGGCTATGGGCAGAAGAACACTGCCGCCAGATTGGTGCAACATGCTGGTTTGCCGGCTGCTTCGAATTCCTTTCCGCAACCTGGGAGAGATGTAACACGGTAGGTGGCTGGTGTAATGTACATTTTAACGGAAGAGGAACACCATGTTTTGGCCTGGCCCCGACAGAGGCTGAAGGCACTCGCAACATTTAACTCTTCTACTGCAAAAGTTATGCACTCGTGATGTATCAATAACTGGCAAAGTCTGGATGAAGTTAATACTTACATCGAGCAGGGCCCAAAGCTTATTGTAACTTTTCCAATGGTGCAAACAGATTCAGTTGAAGACCGAGGGTCGTTCGACGCTATCGAGGACGAGAAGGCAACCCCTTTCTTGTAATACGCATGTTCTCATCCCATCATTATATGGATTACAATAAGCTTTTCTTCCGAAACAAATGAGGAATGAGAGGACGGATTCTGGCTTTTTAGGGTTCTCGACGACAATTATGGGGTGAATCTGTCTTGGTTTCATCCAGTTGACAAGCACACAGAGAAGTAATCGTATTGCATCGTGCAGTTTCTTCCCTTCGGGCTGGAATATCCGCCGCAGAGCTTATTTTTACCTTATTTCTGACCTACCCTTTGTTTACCCAACCAACGATACATTTAAAAACAAGAAAACAAAGCATTAAGGAGAGTCGCTTGCAGTTTGCCGTATAACGTACGGCGATGTGTCTATTTTCATCCTTCATGTGAACAATGGGATCGTTGGCTACTCGGTAGGAGAGCTTTCGCGGCGATGCTCTTGCTGTGACGCAACTGACAAATTCATCGCAACGCGAATGTCAAATAGTTGCGCCAATCACACGCTGCGACATTTCCCGTTTACGTTGTGTGCATAAATATCCCACCATCGCAATCCTGAGCCTTCCCCAAAACTTAACCGACTGACTTAATCTCTCTAGGCCACTTCTTCCGCCGCCCATCTTGCTCTCCGTCCTATCTTTCACCTCTGATTTTGCATCGGTGTGCTGCAAGCATGGTCAACGCAAAATACCAGGCAGTTGTCCTAGCTGGCGGCGAGGACCAAATCCTGTACCCGCTCACCACCACCACCGTCAAGGCCCTGCTGCCAGTAGCCAATAAGCCACTCATCTCCTACCCGCTCCGCACGCTGGCAGAGGCGGGACTCCGGAGCGCTATTGTGGTGAGATAGCTGCTGACTCTACACAGCTAGGGAGCTGGCGTCGTGGGGAACTTCTGGCGGTGTTTAATAATTTCCCGATTTGCCGGTACTTTAGGGGGCTGGGAGGATAACGCATCCCGAGGATAATGCCATCGCTGAACCAAAGCCCCGGTAGAGCAGCGCCGAGCGAGCATGCTGGTCGGCGCTGCATTGCTCCAGGGGGGCTCCTGGGGCTCCTGGGATTTAATATCTGCTATTTTTTTACTGAAGTAAAGTTTTTATTAATTTAGTTAAAAGTTTTGGTGAAATGGTAAGCAGACTCAATGTGTGTATGGCTGCGGCGGAGACAGAGCGGAGAAAGAGCTAACGCGTCACCTGGAAGAGGGCGGAGGTCCCGTACTGCTACAGCTAGCTGCAATAGCGCCAGCAGCAACAGTACCAGCAGTATAGCAGTAGCAGCAGCTGTAGCAGTATGCCACACGCACTTCTAGCGGTTCATGTACCCCCATGTACATGTCTTTCAACCCCCTCCTGTCCTACATACTTCTGTTGTGTGTATCCTAAGTCTATCTTTCTTGGCACCAGCTTCACTCACTCGTTCACATGGTTAAAACCCTAAAACTCTAAGTCTTCACATCCCCTCGGAAGGTCTTCTCCCTCACGGCCCGGCATTTCCGCTTTTCTCCCTAAAAACCCCAAAACCCCAACTTCTTAAACCCCCAAACATAAATCTACCCCCCCAAACTTAAAATTCAAAACCCCTACCCCCCCACACACACACATATTCCCAGGTGGTTATTAACGAACGTGCTGCTGCGTGTGTACGGGAGTGGATAGCTGCCGAGTACGCCGGGTCGCCCGGGGCTCTGCATTGCGAGGTGTGTGTGCGTGCTCGTGTGTGTGTGTGTGTAGGGGGAGGTTCGGAGCTTTAGGGGGCGTGGATGGGATTGGAGGGGGAGATAAGGGGGGCAAACGGGGCGTGGGGGGAAGAGTGGAGCGAAGCGGGGTCGGAGGGGGAAAGGGGGGGAGAGTTTGAGTTTTGTGTGTGTGGTGGGGGGAATGACTTCGGAGTTCAACATGGAGTCGATCGTGTGTGTATATCGGGTTACGCAAAGGAGGTCGAAGTATGCGCACATTTAGGCGTGGGGGTGAGGGGCGGGTATTGCATAAGGTACGACATAACATGCGGAGGTCAGAGCTTCAGGTAGAAAGGTACTACGGCACGTGTACAACGTAATTGTACGGCAAGGTAGTCGTACATGGCCCACTCAAGCTCCTTTCCCCCCATCCCCCCCACTCTTGCCCTGGCAGCAGCTTCACTCGTTTGTGGTTCGTCTTTCGCATCCCCCCCACCCCTCACCCACCCCTCACCCACCTGGCAGCAATGCTTTCGATGGGCCGACATAGTCTTTTTGACCTTTTGCTTCCTCATGATTCCCCCGTCATTTGACGTCCCCCGCGTTTTTCCCCGCCTAACCCTGTAACGCACACAGGTGGTTTCCGTACCGGAGGGGTACGGCACCGCTGACGCGCTCCGATCCGTGGCTTCCCGCATCACCTCCCCCTCCTTTGTGGTGTTATCGGGGGACTTGCTCACGGACGTGTCGGTGGGGGCACTGGTCGCACAACACAACCTGCACGCGGCGATGGCCACCATGCTGTTGGCGCACAGAAAGGTGTCGCCGGCCTCCGAAACCAAACCCGGAAAGCCGCCCAAGGTACGGATGGTATGGATACTGATCTAGCGCTTGCGAGATGTGCGCGCGCGTGTGGTGTTTTGTTTTAGGGAGGGATGGAAGGGGTGGGGGGGGGAGAGCAGTGAGGGGTAGGGTGGGGAGGGGAGCAGGGACGGGGGGGAGTACGACGAAACACAGTCAATTGACAAGAGAGAAGGAAATATACCAAAGACGGATGTTCCATGACTTTAATCCAAGGCCGATAATATTGGAAGAACGGCGGGGGGGAGGAAATAATCTTGCAGAGCAAAATGCCGGGAACAGACTCTTTGGGAGGCGAGAGGGATGAGGGGTGAGGGGTGAGGTGGCGAGGAAGGGTTTTAGGGTTAGGAGGGGCGAAGAGGAGGGTCGGGAAGCATTCTGAGCCTCCCCTCCCCAGGAGGTGAAGCAGCGCCCGGGCCCCCGAGGTGAGGAAGTCGGGGAGCTGGCCGGCAGTGCGGGGGGTGGGGGTGGGGGTGGTAGTGGTAGTGGGGGGCTAAGACACGGGAGCACAGCTGGGGGGTGAACGGATAGCAGATGAATGAAGCAGATATACCAGAGATGGATGCTTCACGGACATAGTCCAGGGGGGGAAGGAGACAAACGCTGCATCAGGAATATATTTATTACTGACCAGTGATGACTTGGATGGTGAGCTTGGCGGCGACGTGGCCAGCTAGGTTGGGAAACGAGTTGCTGTGGGGAGGAAGGGGGAGGAGGAAGGGGAGGAGGTGGAGGAGTGAGTAGTGGTTGTCTTGGCGGTGGTTGAGGCGAAACGCATTAAGAGACCGACACTGATACAGATAGGAGCAGCGGGATGCGAGAGCAGTAATAGGGTCGTGTAAATAGGTGTGTCCGCGGCGCTTTGCTGATTCTACCCGTGGGGGGGGGAGGGGGGTTGGGGTAGCATCTGCATCTGCATGTGCAGTGGAAGGAACCTTTGAAGGGAGGTTGGTTGGTTGGGGGGTGCTGAGGGAAAGGGGGCAGGTAGAGGAAAACGGCCGAAGGGGAGGCCGAGGGGGTTGTTGGGTTTGTGGGGCGTGTTTTGTATGTGATGGAAGGTGGTGGTGGTTGGTAAGAGTGGGAAAACCTGCGGGGCTCACATACATACATACATACATACATACATGCATGTGTACCTACCTACCCTCTGCAGAACGTAGACTATATCGGGCTGGACCCCGCTCGCCAGCACCTGCTGTTCTACGCCTCCAGCCCGGATGCGCTCAGGGACTTAAAGGTGGGTTTCGGAGCTGAGGAGCCGGGGGGGTGGAGAGGGAAGAGCGAAATTTTTCGGGGGGGAGGGGGGGAGTAATTATTTTTAAGTGAGGTGACCCAGGGGTCGGGGCGGCTCTTCGGCCAAATGGCGTCCACGGGGATTGTGGGGTTTTAAACTTCTTCCTTGCGATGTTGGCTCCAAAATCCTGCTGCCTCCAAAATTTTGACCGAGGAATATTATAAATCTCACAACTTTCTATCAGTTCTTTATGTGTACTATTAGTTTGGAAATACGACTGTGCGCTTCTTTTTTCAATTTTGTTAAAAAGAAAGTGTTGATCGGTACATTCTACGTTGCCCCATGGTACGGCGCAGGTACCGCTGCCTACCGTACGGCGGTACGGCACCATGAGCATCAGCTCGAACTTTGTTGATGCGCATCTGTACGTCTTCAACAGGTAGTGGGGGGGCTCAACGGCTGGGGAGGGGGGGAGACAGGGGCAGGGGAGGGCGGGGGGGTGGAAAACGGGGTTGGGGGGGATGTCTACGGAGCAGGCAAGCGGGGCGGGGGGGGGGTTGCTAGGACTGGAAGGACCGTTCTTGCCAACCAACATAATGGAAGGCATGGTGAGAGGGGCGAAATTGGAGGAGTAGGGACGGGGGAGGGAGACTAGCTTTGGTGGTAGACCACCCCACCACTCCACATCGAAGTTGTCCCAAAGACCAGCCGGTCTTAGCGTTCTTCTTCTTCTGGTTACGTAGCTTGTTGGACAGCTCATTCCGGGAGCGGAGAACGTCAGGTGTGACGTCTGGGCCAGGATGCAAGCCTCTGATCGCCTTGTCATTCTTTATACTGAATTCCCTGACATTGACATTATTCATCAAAACTACGTAGCACAGCTCAAAGACGCGGCTATAGCCCTTCAAAAACCAGCTTGACTGCAGATCTCGACCTGGTCCAACTAATACTTGACACTATCCAAACCCAAATCTAGTGCTATCTAGTACTATTTTTATTATATTATTTTACTATGTACGAACGCGGTACGAGCGTCGTAAACTAGTGCCAGTTTAGAGCCCTGCATAGTATGTAGTTGTAGCAGCTGACCGCTGAAAAGGTCTCTCGAGTTGCTGGTGGTCGCGCTCTGCGCGTATTTATAGCGCCGTACTGTGTACCGGCTGCTACAGTAGTACTATGCATAGTACTATTCTAGTATAGTACTCTTTTCTAGTATAGTACCCGTGCCAACCCTAAGGGTTATGTACTGGGCCGTACGGGAGGTTGTAGTGCAGGAACTTCACTAGTATGACGTCCGTGTGTTGTCTTGTGAACACTGGGTCTTCTATCTGTGATTATGTCTATATGTGCCATAACACGCCTTGAGACATGGGGTTTGGGGTCCACCTACCGGGCACTGAACTAACAAAAAGTGATCTGGATGACCGCAGCGATCTGCTTTCTAATGTCTAAGTAGATATTTAGAAAGAACAAAAGAAGACCTTTCCAACGGTGTAATTTTCAGGTACAACGGTTGGCCGTACACCCCCCTTCTACTGGGAGCGTGCACCTGCCTAGTAATAGTATCATAGTACTACATTACTATATATAGTACTATTTCTTACTATACTATGCTATTTGGGTTTTCAAATATAGTATTCTTGCCAACCATAATTATATTATATTATATTACCGTATTGACGCAATCTTTTTGCGACGCGATTAGTTTGCGAGCCCAGAACATTTTTAAAATTTGGATATGGAAACACTATTATTTTGCGAGGCCCCGCTCGGAGTTTATTTAGAAACTTTTGAAATTTGCGAGCTCGTGAGCCATATATGAAAGTTTGCGAACTCGCATCTTATCGTCAGCGTTGTCAACGAATAGGCATCGTAATGTACTAAAGGAAACGACCAACTTTAGGCGCGCCTTTGTGACGCACCGTACTTTACACCTGCCAAAGCGGACAAAGGCACATAACTAGGCAGGCGGCTGGCAGAGGTTAAGGCCTGACTTCTGCTCCCGGTCGACCCGGGGGTCAAATCCGCCTGCCGACCTCTCGGGTGTTTGAGAGGTGGTGAAATGGGAGGTGGCCCCCCATCTTGTGGACGGTGTAGGACGTGATAAAATCAACTTGCGAGCTGACCAGGAACTAAGTTGAGGCGCCGTTGATCCGCTAGATTTGGTTGGATGCTGGTGGTGAGTTGCCAAACTCAAAGAGTACACTCTGAAGTCGGATGGGGTGAATGGCTTAGGGTGCCCCTCTAGCAGGGGAGAGCAGGGAATTGCCTCGGGAAGGAGGCCACTGGTGAAGCTTAACCACCCTGTAACAACATCAACCAGCTATCCTTAGCCCAATATCAGCCAGCCACATTGATCAATGTTATCGGTTGTAATTGAGCTCGCGAGCCACGTCTGGCGGTCTGGTCTGGTAAGAGCTGCAAACGGCCGGCTGTATTTATTTATTTTTGCGAGAACATTTTGCGAGGTGCCATGGGAGTTTTTTTTGAAACTTTAAATATTTGCGAGGGACCCCTTCGAGTTTTTTTTGACACTTTGCGAGGTCCCAAACAATTAATTATTTATTCGCAAAAAGATCGCGTCAATACGGTATATTATATTATATTATATTATATTATATTATATTATATTATATTATATTATATTATATTATATTATATTATATTATATTATATTATATTATATTATATTATATTATATTATATTATATTATTTTTATGTTCCGTCTGGAACCTGCCGCCGTGATTCGTCTGGGGCCCTTCCTCTCGCGCCGCAGCGTTATCTTTTTATAACGCCCTCCCTTAACGCCACCTTTACACGCACCCCTCTCCCCCCCCCCCAAACACACACACCCAACCGTACCACTGCCAGATCTGTACTGCAGATCTTGGCGGACAACCCCAAACTCTCGAGTCTACGACAGGACATGTTGCCGTACCTGACTCAGCACCAGTTCCGGATCCGAAACCAGCAGATGCAGCAACAGCAGCAGACGTTGGCGGCTGCGCACCCCACTACGCCGTCGTCGCTGCTGCTAGGAGCGGCGTCCGGCGCCGTCGGAGCCGGCGGCGCGGTCGGCGGCGTCAGTACGACAGCAACGTTAGCGACGGCGCCATCATCGGAGGTCGAGGCGGGTAAGGAAGGCCTCGAGGTTTTTTTCTCCTCAGCAGCTGCTGCTGCTGCTTTGGCGTCCGTACACAACCATTCGTACACAACAAACCAGCCCCTGTGCCAAAACTCACCTCCGTTGTCCTGTTTTATTTTCTCCCGTTTTTCAATTTGTTTTGAAGTTTTTATTGGTTTATTTTGTTTTTTAAATCTATTTTAATAAATTATTATTATTATTATTGTTACACCGGTGTCCGCTCAACCTGGCGTGTGTTAAGGGGGGAACGCTCTGAGGTCTGCACCTAGTCAGTCCTATATGCTATATTCCCACCGCGTCACCTCTACGGGCCCTTTTCCACCCTAGAGTTCCACCTATCGTTGGTGAGGTCGCCACAATGTCGCTCTGGAACACGACCAGTTATCGCAACCTGCCGGAGTCTGGTGCTCCTGTAACAACTTCAGGCCACGTGCATGTCGCACCGCCTCCCTACCCTTACACTACTGCACTCTACACAGCACCCTGCGCTTTGTCCTGGAGGAGGGTAGTTAGCCCCCTACGACCCGCTTCACCCGCTGGGGGATTCCGCACCCCTCGTAGAGGTCACCATCTAAGGCTCGTGCGAGGTTCGGCCTAGCCATGTTACAGTAGCCTCTTGGTAGGTACTTTGCTTGGACAGCTCCATTGACCTTGTGCAGCCATTTCCTCCTCCTCCTCGGCGCCTAGCCTTCTGGTGATGGACTTGTCATCACATACACCACGGGTTGCCCTGAGGAATGCCTCAGATATGCTGATACACTATCAGTGAACAAGTCTCACAACCCATGGTGACGCCGGTGGGTATTTTAATATATCTTCTCTACCTCTTTAGATATTTATGAAGAATTTCTACCATGTCCGCTTTCCCACTGGCGCAAACTATCTGCAATTTCTCTGTAACTCGTCCACACAGGCTCCCTCTCTTCTTCGCGGCTGCCGCAGATTTTTCCCCCTCCCCCCCTTTGTGGCAGCTCACTTATGATTTTTTTTCTTGTCTTGTATCACATGATGATTTTCTGGACCCCCCCCCCCCGGCCGGCCTTCGCAGGATATCCAACGAAGACATGCAATCAATGTTATTTTTCGCATTTTGCATCATGATCACCATCATCATCATCATCATCATGATCACCATCATCCTTTTCTTATCTTATCGATGAACCCCTAAATCGATGAACCCCTCTTTCCACGTTTCAGACGGCGCCAGCGACCTCCGTTTCAATTTGGTTCCGGAGCTGCCGGGCAGTCACTACATGTCCATGGCTCACGGCCCTCCCCCTGGAGCGGCGGGTCAGCAAGAGAGCCTGTTGAGGGTGCAGGTGGTGGGGCCGAAGGAAGCGTACTGCGCACGAGTGCAGGACGTTCAGGTGCGTGCGTGCGTTTCTTCTTGTGTATTACTTTAATCTAGGCGGGAATCCCACCTGCGCCAAGAATTATGCCGGATGCGTGTCTTTATTGATTTTGTTTAACAAAGGGTGGTACAGCTTCACCAGCGTGTCTGTGTGTTTATGCGGCTGTGTGTATGTATGTTTGTCTGCCGATGCGTGTATGTGCGTGTCTGTGTTTTTGTTTGAAGTAATATGAGGAGTTGCTGGCGGGAACTGGCTATCGTGTGGTACCTGTGCGGAAGTTTACGGAAGGGAGGAGATCCAGGATCTGACATGGTAGAATATAAATAAACAATGCTAAAAAATAAATTTTTAAATGTCAGGTTGCTCAAAAGTTTCTATTAAAGTTTTTTGAAAAGAGTTTCAAGTTAAAGATGATGTGCAGGCGTACGTGCGTACGCGTGTGTCAGTTTGTACACGTGTGTGTATTTCCCCCCGTGCAGCGTTTTCCTTCCTTCGCATCCTCCCTGTAGTAGAGCTTCCTTTCCCCCATTCCCCCCTTACCTCTTTGCCCCCACCTCCTTCCGGCCCCCCTCCCCCTCACCTCACATATACACATACACACACACGCAGATGAAGACGTCCCCGCTTACGTTCCCTTCTTATCTCCCCCTCCCTTACCTTCCCAGGCGTACGGCGAGGTGAATCGCGAGGTGGCCGACCCAGGGGTCGCTCTCAAGCTGGCGGGTCTCAAACCGGGCCGCTTCGACAACATCGTCCCGGCCTCTGCCAGCCTGGGCAACAAGAGCACTGTCGCGGCGGGGTGCATACTCGGGGAGGGCTGCGTGGTGGGGGACAAGAGCTCCGTCAAGAGGTCTGTGCTGGGTCAGGGGTGCAGGTGAGAGGGGCGGGGGAGGTGGGGGGGTTTGGGTCAGGTGTGGTAGGGGTGGGGGGTGGAGGTGGGGGGTTGGGCGACCTCTTTCCCCCCGCCCCCGGGGCCCGACCCATTTTCTCTCCCTCGTTCCTGTCTCCCCTGGACCCCCCACCGCCATCATCTCTTCCCCGCGCAGTGACCCTCCACGTACCCCCTTCCGCTGTCCTCCGTTTACACACATACATACATACATACATACATACATACATACATACATACATACATACATACATACATACATACATACATACATACATACATACATACATACATTCACACACCCACATGTGCAAACACGCACAAAACACACACGCACGCACGCACGCACGCGGATGCACCCCTCTTAATTACCAAGACCGCTCGCCGCCAAGACTACTAAAGATCAGTAAGTAAGTATTCCTGATGCCGCATTTGTTTTTTTCTCCTGGACTACATCCGGTTATCATCTCTGGTATCATCGTCCCTCGTCTGTGGTTCCCCTTTCCCTTTCCTTTCCACGGCCTATCGGTTACCAACCAGGCTCGGCACCAACGTCAAGGTCATCAACAGCGTCTTGATGGACGGGGTGGTGGTGGGGGACGGAGTGCACATCCAGAACAGCGTGTTGTGCGGGGGCGCCTCGGTCCAGTCTGGGGCAATACTCAAGGACTGCCAGGCGAGTTGGTTAAGAGTTGGTTAGTTGGTTGGACGGGGGGTTGAACGGGGGGTCTAGAGGTGTGTCGTGCGTCCGCAGTGTGCGTGTACTTGCGCTTGTGCGTGTGTGTATGTGTATTGGGGGGTGTTGGGTTTAAGAATGGGATTCGGGGGGGGGAGGGGAATCATGGAGATCTTGCCAACAGCAGCTTCAGCCGGCGGCGCGGGGTGGGAAAGGGAAAGAGGGAGGGAAAAGCGGGGGGGGGCGCCCATATACAAAACGTGTTGTGCCGCGCTTTTGTGTGTGATGTGTCTGTCTCTCTGCCTACCTGTCTACCTACCTATTTACCTGTTCCTCTCCAACCTCCTTTCAGCCCCTGCCTTGATCCATGGACCTCCCCATTCGTCTGTCTGTTTGTCTGTAAAATAAGGCATTCCCCCCCCCCCCAAAAAAAATACCCCTTCCTTCGCCAGGTGGGTGACAGCTGCATCGTGGCTGGAGGAACGGAGTATAAGGGGGAGGTCCTGGTTATCAAGGGAACCGCCACAACCGCCACCGGTACCAGATAATACCGGGAGGGGCCATCAGCGGGGGGAGGAGGGGGAGATGCGACGGAGGGGAAGATGGGAGCAAGGGGAGCAGGAGGAGGAGGTTCTCCTCCGTCTGCCTCATCGATACCCCCCGATGTAGGTCAGAAGTAGAGGAGCTGAAGGGGGCCAGGACCAGGACGAGGAGGAGTAGGAGGAGTAGGAGGCGGCTGTACAGGCCAAAGGATGTAATGTTGTTACAGAATTCTGGGAGGCTTCTGGGCCACTTGAACACATTTATGATTTCTACGATTTATCACACGATACAGCACCATCCACCATTTTACTACACTGTACTTCACTGCCGTACGAACTGCAAGTCCTTAGGGCGGTTGATCCTCCTTCTAGGATTCCTCCTCAAAAGGATGTATGTGGCGGCCCGTTGCTGTCGAACTACCCGATCACTTAGATTGCCAGACAGCCTGCCGGGTAGGGCTGATAGCTGTAGCAATAGCTGTAGAAACTGTAGTTGTAACGGGAAGCAACAGCACCGGCGGCTGTAGTGCGATCTATCGAAGGGAAAGTGTTTTAGGTATTGCCGGCGGCAGGAGCTGTAGCAGTGGCCGGGTAGGGAGGCAGAGTACAAGAGCGGTGTGGACGTAGTAACATGAGAGCAGGGGTTTCTGTGGGACAGGCCGTACAGGGAAATCCGCATGCCGTACCTGTCTGCTAAGCTGTTCCGTTCCGAGGGCTCTTTACGCAGTCGTACATGACGTACAAGCTACAGCAGCCTTCCAAGATGCAGGTATCTGATTCAGTTTTTATTGAAGGAATGGTTTTGTGAGGTTTGCTGATTTAGCTGACTGTGAAGCCATATACGAGTAGCTTCGTACGCGAAAAGGTTTCATTTACTGTATTGCAAAGCGACGTTTCGATCTGCCAGCTGCTATGGAACGTAGAAGGCCAGGACTGTTGTGTGGGCAGTCATCCAGAACACATCAGCATCTTTGGGGCGAGGCCCTGGACGCAACCGAAGGCCCACCAGTAAATACTAACCGGAACTTGCATGTTGTTACTAGGTAAGGCATGTGCCCCAAAAGAAATCAAAACAAAGAAGCAAAACAGGTGAGAGCTGATTGTCCATCGGTGGCCGCTCCCGTGAACATAACAACTTGTCTGACACAATTCGCAAGAAGGGGTGATGCTACAGAATCCCATCCTTTCCGTGGAACTCCAAGAGCTGCGAAACCCCGAAGACAGCCCCAAAGGTCAACAACAACTCGATCCATGGCTCCTTCTGTAAGGCAAGGGCCAGGCAACAGTGCCGAGTCGGTGTTCATGGCTGCAGCTATATATCGCCGCCTGCGCTCCATAGCTTACACCGCAGCAAGAGCCAAAACACTTCGATTAAATTTTTGAATTGTTTATGGAGCTTGGACAAGCCAAAGTTGTTCGCGTGACGCTGGCGATCCTCTTGACAGAGTTGGTCCGCTACTGCCTGTGCCACCGGACAGGCCCAGAAGTGATGAAAGCGAGGGGATACACCTCCCATGGAACCTATTGGATAACCTCCACAACCACAAACTGCTGGCTGCGACATCCTGTGATGGGAACTTCCTAGCATTGGCACCCCATCAACCGCGAAACGCCACCAGACCTCTTTTTGTTCATTTTCCCGTTGTACGTGAGACCATAAAGGATGGAAGGTTCGTTGCAAAGTAGGAATAGCCTCACCCTGTACCTCAGAAGTGCCGGTCGCCTCTTTATGGGCTACTCAACAAGCCACAGAAAGTGGCGAAGGCTGCATATCAGTTGCTAAATTAACGAATAAATATTGAAGTCTGATGTGTGCCTTGTGTTGTACGAGGACGACATACATAGCAATCACATAATGAACCGTCAAATAGGGGGGTCCTTGTGAAGCAGCTGCCCGCGTTTCCAAAGCACGTATGGTGTTGGATTGTAAGGTGCCCAAGTACGTTTGCGAGGAAGAGAATGTGGCCAGGCTGGAGAAGAAAGTGCAGTGGCATATTGGAATGTGAGATTAGCGTAAGCGAGTTACAGGGCGTTTGGCGCACGGGCGAATTTACGTGCATACCTTTCACCGTAGCATCAGTCCTCAGTTCACTTCTTGGAACGAACATCAGCATAGGTCCAAGCCCTCTCGCTTGGACCAAGCCCTCTCGCTTGGAGGGATATGCAAACAAACATCCTGATAGGGGTAAACTCGCACGCTACCGAGCATTCAACCGAGCACATGCATGCTTAGTTGAGTGGTGAGATGCGACCCCCCCTTCATTTCGTGCTCGGCAAGCCTGCCACCGCGTACCGGATATGTTGGCGATGTTACAGAGACGCTGCACCTTGGTTTCTGTGCGCAATGCGTACGATGCTCGACCCCGCCGACCAAAACTACACGTGCCCAACTGAAGACATTCCCGGTGGTTGTGCAGCAGCTCCTTGAGGCTGCTGCTGGCTGAAATCCATCCTGAGCTGTTGCAACACGGCTAACGCGGGCACGTCCCTATGCACAGCAAATAGCTGTTCCAAGCCAACAGCGGCGTCCATGTCACCGACAAGGCTCTAAACGTCTTATCTGTTCTTATGCTTAATTAAGTTTATGTATGTTATACTTTGCGCAACTTTGTAATTTGACTTTACTCTGAACAAGGTGCTGTATACGTTGCACTACCAAAAACGCGACCGTTTGCTTGCACACAACTGCCTCTTCGTCAGACGCTTCCTCTTCCCGCGGCAGTTTCACGAGCCCAGTCTTGCAAGCTACGACGTAGGCTTTCGGTGCTTTCAGTTACTGCAATGCAGCCACGCAATAGTCCAGCCTGCATGCCGCGTGCGGCTGTGGCCAACATGCCCACCTGCGCAACGCGCTGGCGCACCTCGTCCTTTCTCCACGAAAATTTATATACACTTATACAGGCGCATTTTGCGAATCGCACGCGCGCATCCGCGCGGCAAAATTCGCTCCTGGCTTTTTTGGACGATGTACGAACCGTTTATTCGGCAGAGTACGACCGCTCACATTTCTGCGAGGGGCTGCTTAACCATACATCAAGCAATAATTCTAATATGTTGCAACGGACAAAATTCTAGCACTTCATGCCCCGCTGTCCTCTCATGCTATGAAACTTGAGCTATCAAAAAAAGTTGGGCTTCGGAGCTGCATCAAGCTTGCCACGCTCTCTGCAAGGGGTTCGCATTACGTTCTTGTGGGTTGTGGTTCATGCTATTCATATCTTCCGGTATCGAGAAGCCGGCCAATTTCTCTAATACCTTCCGTTATGTTCCAACACCATACGTTGATTTAGTACAAATCTTGCACTTGCTACCTCCATGACAAATTTCAATTGATTATTATGAGCATCGTGGCTCTTGGCGAGGACAAAAGGAATTCGCACCGTGCGCGATGGCGGATATAATTCACAAATCCGCGCATCCCAGCCTTCCGCCTGCGGCACCGCAGCAGGCAAGCATCTACAGCTTCCCTTGAAATGTTGGGTCATGCGGATATTCAGGACCCCGACGGTCAGACTTTCCTGCATGACTATCCGCGCAGGTGGTTCAGTACCTGCTCGCCAAAAACTTCCACCTCACCGCTTTAGAACTCCTAGTAGAGGCACAGCAGGCTGGTTGTGGCGATGATGTCCGCGATCTGGAGGTGGGCTAGCCGTACTGTCCCTTACAAGCCCCTATTAGTTTCTACGTGTGTAAATTTGCTTGCGCAGGCATGCGCCTAGCCTGTAGGATTAAACGGGGTCCGCTAAGGAAACATCACTATTAACGCAACAGAACATACAGTAGTTGTGACGATCCTCATGAGTATAATCACGATGGGGGAGAATTTCCGGGTGTAGGCGATTCACTTCCGCTTTCTCTGCTGCCCTATGAACTCTTCCCACGCCACCCCGCCCCCGCTTCCCATCGCGTCCCCATCCCCCCTAATTTCCCCCCGCCTCAACCGGCCCCAACAAAACCCAAATCTCCAACCAACAGATACCCTCGCTCCAAACACACAAGTGTAAATTCTGAAAACAGATGCCCGGAGCCCCCGGTGGCACGTTCCCATCAGCAATTTTGAGTTTCATTTGATTAATCGCGATTATTAATTTACTTTGCGCTTTCCCCGATCTGGGTCACACACGCACACGCACGGACACACGGACATACATACACACATACGCACACGTGCACGCACCCCTCCAGGCCTTCTTCTCAGATGCTGACCGTTTCCCCCCGGAGGAGCTTGCTCGTCACCAGCCGGATAACGGTAAGAACGGTTGTCCAACTACCTTTAGAGCATGGTTTCACGTAGGATGTGGCCGGGGGCCTCCCGTGCATGTCGTATCGTGTCGTATCGTAACGTGTGTGTTTTGTGTCAAGCTGAACCCCGACAAGGAAATGGCGAGGCTTGAACTTGTGTCTTCTGTGTGTATTTGGACCGCGTCGGGAGATGTTTATTGGTTTGGTGTTTTTGCCGTACTGGGGGGAAGGGGAGGGGAGCTGAGCTACAGGGATGGGGATCCCAGGACTCCGTGGGGGCGGGGGGTTTGAGTGTACGACAGGCTGATCCACGCTGTGAGTCATCCCCCCACCCCCTCGGGTCACTTTTGGTCACTGTTTATACCGCGGCAGTAGCAGTAGCTGTTGCTTTCAAAATTTTCCTTCCTTCAACTTTGCAATTAATTAATGCAATAATTCCCCCTTATGATTCTCCTGATGCCGTACACATGGTTACGTCTTAACCAATGGCCTGTTCCTCTTTCCTCCTGTTACTCATGCTGCTGCTCGCCTCCTCATCCCTCCCTTTCGTACTGCTGCACCTTCTGCTGCTGCAACTGCTCATGTTCATGCTCCGGTTGGTATTGCGGTTCTCAGCTCGCGATCTGCAGGCCCTGGGAAGAGAGAGGGAGTCGCGGCTGCAGATGGCGGAATACGAACTGCGACTAGCCAAGGTCGGAAGGAGGGGGAAAGACAGGGGGATGTAGGGTTTTGGGGGGAGGGAGGAGGGAGGGAAGGGGGAGCGAGGGCGATGTAGGGTTTTGGGGGAAGGGAGGAGGGAGGGAAGCGGGAGAGAGGGGGATGTAGGGTTTTGGGGGGAGGGAGAGAAGGGGAGAGAAGGGGAAACGTCTTTCGAGGGGACAAAGGAGGGAGCGAATATGATTATCCCTCCCACCAACCCTTGTGTGGCGATTGGTTAAGACGTAACCATGTGTACGGCATCAGGATCAAGCTTATCG